GAAGAAGGCCCCAGTAAGTAAACGATCCAAGGGAATACAAAATGATGTCTTCTGCTTCTTCTTCTTGATTGCGTTTTTCTGCCATGCTAGAGGAAAAGACCGACCAGTACAAAGTTAGTTGTACTAGTATTACTAGAGATGGACCGCAGTGTGCCCTCGGAAATTTGACTCACCGTGTGTGCTCTGCTTGCCTTTCTCTCTTGTTGTTCACAACAACAATAGGTACAAACCAAGAAACGCGCTACTTTGGCCAAGCAATTCAAATGTCCCTTTTGCGCCAACGAAGAAGTGGTGGAATGCAAGATGGATTTCAAGGCATCCGTGGGGAGTCTGAACTGTCGCTTGTGCGCTGCTTCCTATCAGATGCCGATTCATCACTTGCATGAACCCATTGACGTCTTTTCGGAGTGGCTTGACGATTGTGAAGCCGCGGCCAATGGTCAAAGAACGGGAGAGGCGCCTCCTGCCGAAGCACCACGGTTCAATGACGAAGGGGATGAAGACGATGATGTCCCAGAAGCTGTTGAATTTAACGGCCGCAACAATAAGAAACGGCCCGCACAAGATACGGGCGCCAGGAAAAAGCAAAAGACGGGCAAAGCAGCGACAATTACCGATCTTGGGCTGGATGATTCCGATTCGGATGATGAGGATTAGTGTGCGTGTTCTTAATAGTACTTGATATGCAACAATATGCTTAATAATCTTGGGTTGTGGATGATTGGAGTCAATTTGATTTCAAGCTATATGCTCCGGGGGCTGTGGCAAGAGAATTTTGTTGTTGTTAAGCTTCTAATTGTCGATGATTATCAAATCTGTTGATGCAATCTCGTGCCCGCGGCGAACCTACCGTAGCTAGTTTGATGAACGTGCAGGTACAGTACAATCAATGATGGAGTGACATCACGATACTAGCTAGCTAGTACGGTGCCATTCGATTCTCTTGTTGCAGGTGGCAAGCCAGCTACTGATGGCTAGTAGCTAAGAAAGTACTACTCCTCTCTGTGATAACAGTTCTCAATTTCTTTTTTAACATCTTACAGACAACACCAAGCCAGTTACTGCTGCTGCAATTCGTGCACCTTCTTCCACAGTTCCTGCGCAAAGACGGGCGCATCTTCTTCCAACACGGGCTGTAACTCTTCCATCAACTTGGCTACAGTGGTTTGAGGGTCGAGCACCAACTTGAGCAAAAAGTCAATCAGCGTCGCCTCTTCCTCTCCCATGTATTGTTTGATTTGACTGGACACAAATGCCCGCAACGTGTCATGTGCCGCCGCTGGCAATTCCGGAAATGTGGCGGTGGGTTCCATACTGGGAAGCTCCGCCACACGAGCACGTTTGGCCGGTGGAGGAGGAACCGCCAAACCTGGTGGGGGAGGAGGTGGCAATCCTTCGGGCATGGGCGGAGGTAGCATGGGTGGGGGAGGCAAATTAGCGGGAACGCGTGGTTTGTTGCGCTCTTCTTCCACGAGAGGACGCAATCGTTCCTTGGCCGCCTGCACCTTTTGTTTGACAATTTCGGCACGGCGCCTTTTTTGCGTGGATTGTGTTTCATCCAGTTTGGTGCGGAATGCCTTGACGGCCGCAATGACCTGAGGAGTATTGAGGGGATCGATATCGTCATCGTAGCCTCCACCGGCTGCTGCTGCCAACTTTTCCATATCCAATCCCCTGTCCCTGTTGGCTTGATTGTTGTTTGCGGTCAAGTCGGCAGGTCTAGGATTGTTGCTTCGTGTAACATGATTGATGAACTGTTGCGAGAGTCGTTCTCCCAGAATCTTGGCCGTTTGTTCGTCAATTTTGAGGGGTGGCATGGGGATTTTAGGATCGTTGGGGACCATATGAAAGTTCATTTTTTCGTAGGCCGGTTTGTTCTTTTCTTCGGCTCCCTCCAGCAAGAGTGTCTTCATTTCGCGACAGGCACAGAGCAACTTGAGGGCTCCATCTGGATGGGACATGGTGACCAGAGCTGTAAAGGTTTGATCCTTGTTCACTTCGACGTCATCTTTGGGTGGAGTGGGATGAAAGGCAATGTTTCGAGCAGATCCACAGGGATAGATAACATCACGGAGCGATCGATTCGAGTGCAGAAAATAGGGCATGTTGTTCAACAAGACGGCCGTGGAAAGAGTCACTCGCGGAGGTGGCACCACAGGTTTCGGTTTCATTCCTGGTAGAGGCAATCCAGGAGGGGGCAATCCAGCAGGTGGAGGAGGAGGACCAGCATTTGGAAGTGGTGGCGGTGGAAGGCCACTAGGTGGTGGGGGAGGAGCTTGTAGGTTGGGGGGCGGAGGTGCCGATGCCATGGTCAAGATAATGGATGCTGATAATACTAACAGCAGAGACGGTGAGATTGGTTGGAGATTGATGTGGAGTGATCGCGATCAAGATCTTGCTGCTACACTGCGCACTGTACTGCCGGAGCTGGAGCAATAACAATACATTAAATGTATTGATTTTTGGAAACTTGGGCAAAATACGATCGCAGCTAGACTAGCAAAGCTGGCTTGCTTGCTTGATTTGGGGGACAGAGCTGCCAGGTACAGATAGATCCGTAGTCTAGCTAGTTATGCCCCATCCTCCCCATAGTCCCCCCCAACCTCTTGTAACTTCCATTTCATATTTATGGGAGAAGGGACATGGACGGTATTTCGATCCACAGAAGCTTAAAGGATTGGTACAGAAAGTACAGCTGGACCGTCGTGCCGACATCGGCCTACCGCTGTAGAGGCCGCTGTAGAGGAGATTAGCCAATCAGCGTGCGATCTTTTCGATGACGTCAGTCGGCTGACGTCAGTCGTGCACGTCAGTCGTGCACACGATTTCGCACCTCTCGTTGTGTTCGCTTTCTCTGTGTCAGCTCGATCAGTCTCTCGTCGTGTTATCAGCATGTGTTTTCGAAAGACCGACGGAGCATGCATCCAGAGGATTTCGAATTTGATCCAGATAGTGAAGCAAGACAATAAAACCGAGGTCATCCCTTCCGTATTCAGTAGCCGCAGAGGTACTTCGCAGAGGTGTACTTACCGCATTCAGTAGCCGCAGATTCAGTAGCCGCAGAGGTACTCCTCACCGCAGCCGAGGACATAGCCGCTTTCATCGCAATCCTCCGAAGACGATGAGTGCGAGTAAGAAAGAGGCTCCGGCTTGTATCGACCACTATATCCGAAGCATGTACTCGTCTGTAGGACGCTTCCCCAAGGTGGACGACAACGGCATGGTGTTCTTGGCGGCTGCTGGCAAGACAGGGCGTGCCTCTGCGAAAACCAGGACTCCTCTAGTTGCCGGAAAATTGGATCGGCATCTGCAGCAATATTTCCCACAGGGAGCAGTCCACGGAGTCTCATCTCCTGTTATGAGAGCCCTTGCAAGGAAGGAAGCTCCTGCTGCAGGCCAGGCACAAATTACAAATTTCTTCAAACCCGGGAAGGGCATTGAGAACAAGCCATGGCAGGCAGAGGAACAGTCTCTAGCAGCCATGGAATTTGAGCTGCCGGCTTTCACTAAAATTCTCTTCTTCATGCCTGAGATCTTTGACCGCAGCATCCTGGAAAAGCATTCAAGGTACAAGTGCATGGACACAAAAACAGGCAAAGAGACCAGTGGACTCAAGACTCCATGCCCCCATTGTGGCACCAACAAGCATGTGTTTTTCGGTGACAGAAGTGGCCTCAAGCAAGGCCAACACAGATCAGTTGCTTGCTTCAGGGGTCGCATCCCAATCTACTGCTTCATCTACAAGTGTAGCAATAACCAATGCAGTGGTGGAAAGGAATCCCATGATAGTGTGGAGAAGGTGTCAACCCACACATTCCATGGCTACAGCCCACTGGTTTACCAACAGTATCCGGCAGAGTTGAGAGCCAAATATGCAAGCTACCTTTACACTGAGGCTGGAGATGGCGCTAGAGGGTCCACCTTCTTCACCAAGGCTCTTGCATCTGAAGTGCTGAGGGATGACAACAACTTCTCTGAGCTAGCAAGGCAAATGGCAACAGCTCACTCCAGAGCCAGGGATCAGGCCATCTCAGAATATGTGGCCTTCCTCAAATCCCAGGGAGGTGACGGCTGGCCTGACTTCAATGTCAGGAATTTTGACAAGCTGTTTGCCCCACCAAAGTTGGGAGTCATCCTCAAGATCTTCCACGCTGCCTTCGATCTAATATTTCCCTATTTGAAGACCGATCTATTCAACAGAGTACCTGGCAGAACCATCGCCATAGATGGCACCTTCAAGTTCCTTTCCAAAACCAAGAATGACAAGGGGTCGTCAGAGGAGACCAAGTGCCTTCACATGGTCTATGGCCAGTACGGTTATTTGATGACATGGGGCTTCTCTGGACCTGAGAATGATGAGTGCTTTCAAAGGCTGCTGTGGTATCTCAGGAATAGGTGTGAGAGGCTTGGGCAAGAGCATGTGGATGCTGTCAGGGCTTGCTACAGTGACACCTGCTGCCAGGGCCTGGACGACCCAACAACCCACTGGATCACCAAGATCTTCCCAAACTGCAAGAGAGCACCCCACAAAGACCTGTTCCATGCAGGCAAAAAGCTCACGGATGCCACCCAGCCCCTACATGAGCTGTCGCCAGTATTCAACCAACTGGTGACCTCATCACTGCTCCGGTTTGACCAGTCCTCAGTAAATCACGTGGTGAAATGCTACCTGAAGAACACCAAGCAGAACTTGGCATTGGAGTTAGCTAGAGAGCAGATGATGAAGCTCAAAGTTTGGAGGAACAAGGTCAAGAACTACGCTCCACCGAGAGACAAGGTGGAGACCGACCTCAGAGAAGCATATGCAACAATAGAGACGGAGGATTTCAAGCTCAAACATGCTAAATCGTTGGAAGGCGAAGGTTACCTCCCACTATTGCTGTCGGCCAAGCGAGGTGTAAGGCTCGGAACTGAGAACGAACTGAAGAACCTGCTGCTCCATGTCAAGAAGGGGTGCTGTGAAGATCCATTCCCCCTTGAGGACATCAACGTCGCTGTGGATCCACATGATGACTTTACTGACTTCGTCAGAGACAGGGGGACCTCCCAGGGGGAAAGCTTCCACAGACTGCTCAATCAACTGGTGAATGAATTGACCATCCAAGGCCCGGAGCTAGGTGACAAGAAGCTGTGGCTGAGAGGCACCCGGTTCAACCTAGCCAAAGATTTGCTGCTCCAGAAACTGCTGAAGATCGAGAAGGTTAGAACCATGGACTGGTACATCCACCAGGCACTCCTGGAGCAACACCCCACACTTTCAATCTATCAGGGCTACGACTTCCCCAATGTGGTCGACGAAAGCTACAATGAGCCTATTGGGATTTCCTATGGCAGGTGCAAGGACTGGCAGACAGTCAACCAACAGATTGACACCCTCATCCAGACTGGATCTTCA